TAAAGGTTAAATCCATTTGTGTTGTTGGTATTTTATGTGTTCTAAACTACAGACTTAAATTCAACTTCTGCTACCTTGAGAGTACGTCTGTGCAGTATTTGTTTAAAGCTACCTATGGCATTCAAGGGATAAGTAATTGAAGCCTTTCACTTCATTTTTGCTGTAACTTATTTTGGCCAAGTTAGTGAGTATGACTGAATACTGTCTACTGTCTTTTCCATATCTGCTGAGATGTTTATCTAACATCAGTTTTGTTCATGGAGGTATTTGCAGAGACAGTGCTTTCTAGTGATGTCAGGAAAGTGACTGAATGAGAAGAGAGATTAAACTGTGGTGTGCTTCATTGTAGGTGGGAGTTGCCTTGGGAGCTCTCATTTCTTCCTGTTAGGTACTTACCTCTTGAAGTCACAGTGCAGAGCTCTAGTGTTCATATCATTGGAGACCTGAAATGTGTCAAATGCAGAAACGTGAAAAATAGACCACATGAATGACCTAAATGAATTTGAAAAGTACTACACTCAATATTATCTGTAGAGTTTTCATTTAGAGACTTGTCACCATTAAACTTAATCATTGCGAACTAGGTACTGCTACCAGATTTTCTTATGTCTTTTTGTATGGCGCATGACAACACACATTACTACAAGAGGATCTTAATCTCAATTTCGGTTAGTGCAAAAGTGCACATCATTTTGCTACACTGAGCAAAAGCAGTATTTGAGTTTCTTTTTTCTTCATGAAATGGGAGACACTAACAACTTATGGTTTATGTAGTTGCATAGGCTGTTCAACACAACACAGATAGTGTTGCTGTGGAAAGCAAAATCTTAACATTTTGTCTTTCGTGATGCTTAACATCTTAGCTTTAATATTCTATTTTCTTTCTTCAATTTATCTCCTCAGTGCCTTTGGTTATCTTCACTTGTCATGCCAAGTTTCTGAAAACCATGCAAATCATGGTCCATGCCTTTTATTTGTCCTGGAAGACACCCAGCATGCTTTTGGGAACTGTAAAAATAGTACTTTTAAATGTGACACCTAACATGGATTAACATCAGCAGCAGATCCATCATCTGTATCATCCAAAGTCTGTTTGATTTCATAGGTAGCTGCTTTTCATTCCATATCATAGAATTCTGTTCTTCTGTGCTATTTTATATTACACAGACTTTTCACTACCTTGGTTATCTCAGGGAAAGAGTGTATTGCACTAAGGGAGCCATCTAGCATCTGTTATGCTTCATCCTTTCTTCCACTACTTCCTTGTGGAGCAAATCGCATGTGTGTGAGATATAAGACATTAAAACCTGCGAGTAAGCTTTATATTTTATAATTATATGCCTATTTTTTATATATTCATTTGTATATATTAGTTATACAGACATCCTCCTCAGAAGTCCATAACATTAAGGGAAGGATAGGCTGAAAATGTCTAAAAGCAAAATAAGCTGAAATGTTTACAGATCATCAAGGTTTTGTTCTAAGTCTCTTCCCTACGTATGACTATTTTTCCATTTTGAAACATGAAATTCAAGCTGTTTTATCCCCTAAAGTGCATTAAACTATGAAGGCTATGCACAATTCAGAACTCTAAAAATTTCAGCAATGCTGTTTGAAGGTTATCCTTGCCTTCCATATTTGTATTATTGCATCAGTTGGTTTGGATGGAGACAATACTAACATGACTGTTTGGACAGGGTCTCCAGAGTTATTGTCCCTTACTGTTCTGAAGTTTTTGCAGTTCTTAGCTGATTGAGACTTCAAATCTTGGGGACGATGCAGCAAAATAGTTCTGCTGCTGCAGTGCTGGTGAGGGAATGTTGTGGAAACATGCAGTTACCTTATGCCCACATTCCTCTGCTTTTTGGAATGCCTACCTCTTCTGTGTGAATAGGAGAAATAAATAGTTCATGTCCAGCAGGGGTTGATTTTCTGCATTCTGTTTTGGGTTCTTAAATAATCTAAATTCTCTTCCAGGAAAAGCCTCAATTAATGGAAATATTTACATTCTCTGCTGTTGGATATCTTTGAGAGGGTATTACTCTACTAGCCTCTAGTTCTAGACTAGCAGCTAGTGCAGGAAGAGCTGATGTGGCACAGTCAGCAATGAAAATGAACATTTTGTATTTATAGTTGTCAATGAAGACATCCTCTACACCATTCTGATTTCCCTTTGCAGGTGTTTTTTCTCCTCGAGGCATGCCCAGTCATCAAGGTGCTATTTATTACTCTCACAATGCCACAGCAGCAATTGGAGAAGATCTAGAATTTAAAAATGGAAAGAATGACAGATAGATAAGGATAGAAGGGAAATCAAATGTGGTAACAAATGCACGAAGTACTTGGAACAGGTACTGCATCACAGCAGTCTCATGGATAAACAAATTTTTATCGAAGTTCAAGCAGTAGTTTCACATGCAAACTCAGCTGATGTTTTAATTTATCTGACAAGATGTGAGAGGGCAACTAGTAACAATCTGGTTACATAAAGTATTTCAATAATGAGGGAGGGCTGCTATGAAAATAATGTTTATTATGTTGGCCTAGGACATTAGAGGTGGATGTTGGTAGTATGACAGTAGAGGCTGTACATTCTCACCAGTATTCCATTACATTTTGTTGCTGTATGACAGATGGCGGCAGAGGGGCAGTCTGACAAAATGGCATCTGACATGGAAGTATGTATGAAGCAAATGTGTGGAACTGAATTTCTCCGTGAAGCAAAAATGGTGCCCACTGTTATTCATCAATGCTTGCTGAAAATTTTTGGAAGCCAAACAGAGAATATGAGCATGGTGGGAGGTGGGTGGTGTATCTCAGCAGTGGCGACAGTGAGTTACCTCCACTGGTGCAGAATCTTACAAGCATAGCAGGCAGGTTCTTGCTCATTGCTGGTGGAAAATGCATAGCTAATGGTGGTGTCTATTTTGGAAAATAGTGTTTTGTACTTTAGAATTTGCTCTATCAAAATAGTGTTATTTTGCTCTTTGCATCAATTGTAGTTTCCATGGAGAAAAGTGGGGGGCATTATTTTTGGAGTGACCTTTGTAGTTCCCTGCATCAGGCTATGTGAAGGATATAATTATGCTTTATAAAAGATACCTTTTTGTACTATTGTTTTCTTTGGAGTGTTTTGAAATGACATTTTATGTTTTTTATATGTTTATGCATTCTGTGACAATGCTACAAATAGCTGCTGTGAGATTCTGCAGTGTGTACGTTGGGTGACACATTATCCTGGTAAATCATTGGTTCTTAGAATAGGCAGCAATTTTCTGCAGTGGAGATTAAGAATTAAACCATGTCATTGCTCTTCTGAAAATCAGACTGGGTTATCAGTGCCAATTGCTGAATCAAACCAACTAGCCAAGTATTAGCAAATTATCCTTGGAAGTTATACTATCACTTTGTCAAGCCTGACAGATAAGTAATTTATTTAGCAATGGGTATGATGGCAAATTGTATTTAATTTCTTTTCTGTGCTATGCAGAGAATTTAAGTTGTAAGAGGTTTGGTGATGTTCTCTAAAATGTTCAAAAGTAGCGCAGGCTCTTGATTAAATTCCACTGGTCTAAGGACAAAAAGAGCCTATTGCTTTTCCCTGTAGCATGTTTCCCCCTTTATTCATGCATGACTTTTGCTTTTACTGCAACCTTCAGGATTAAATGTATTGCCACCATCTTGGCATTTCTTGTTTCAAATAGTGTAGGTTGTTTTTTTATTTCTGGTTATTTCATGTGAATCATTTTGTAAGGATATTGAATGTATATTTTTCTCTCCTAGATTTATAGTCTGGTAAATTTTGCACACCTTTGAAGCCCACCAAGAAATCTGATTAAATTACTGTGACATCTTTGGTATATGATATTTCAATAATGGTATTGATTGATATGTGGTATGTCATTTTGCTGCTATTACTGTCTTAAAACGTATTTGAGTAAAATGCGAAATAGAAGAAAGTCCATGTTCCTTGCTTTAACATTGTTTACCTACAAAATAACATAGGCCACATTGCTAGATGGATATTGTTTATTTAATAAACATCTGCCTTAAGTAATTTTAAAGCCATCTCTAGGGCTTGTATTATTAAGTTCAGCAAACTAAAGTTAATCTCATTCTTTTGAAATTTATGGCAATTGTACTAGATGATCTTTTGAAGGTCTCTTCCGACTAGACTATTATTCTGTTGTGTTGTATCATATTGTATCACATCTTATTCTCTTCTAACTTTGTCTCTCTGGTGGCCAAGTCAAAATAACTCTTTTCAAACAAGTGTGTTTTTTTGCATTGTTAAATTTGCTGTTGGCATTTTCCAGCAGGATTTGGTGACCTATATATCATGCAATAATGTATCTTTGAATATGGTGGATACATCAGATTTTCATACTTTCTCCCATGCTTGTTGTTTTGAGAGGACTTTAGTGGAACAAGGAAAGAGATTGAATTTTCTTTCACTGTTGTATCAGTAAGTTGGCTTAGGACAATAAACCTGCTTTATTTGTAGAATATTTTATAGAATACTTTCAGTAAAACTGATGCAACAGTGTGCTGTGATTAAAAGACCAAAGGAAAAAACTAAGCTCTTTTGCATCAGTTTCTTCTTTTTGCTCTTGAGAGAGTTTTTAGAGCCTTCTTTCTTCTTCCTTCCCCTTCTTCTCCCCCCCCCCCCCCCCCCCCCCCCCCCCCCCCCCCCCAAGCCTCAAGATATCTGTCTGTAAATGAGTGCTTAGATTGTTGAATTCATTATGATAAAAAGGCTGTTTCTTTCTTGTTTAGCTATTATTAACTGAAAATAAACAGTATCAGTTGATTAAGAGGAGAAAATTAGTAAAATACAATCCTCCTTTGGTTTGCTGTTAAATATTTGTTGGTCTCCATTAAGACGCTAGCTAACATTGCTCTTTATTGGGCAAATGTAAATTCAGACTTAAAGATCCAACTCCTCAAACATATTAAGTACAAGATTAACTTAACTTTGTTTTTGCTTTTCCTTTCCATAGGAAACTGGAATCCAAACAAATGGACAATCTATTGGTTCATAACTAGATTGAGAACTACTGAGGGATCAAATGAACCAAACTGGATGGAGGGATTATTGCTGACGTGAAAGCTTATGGGAAGTGGTGCTGATGGATTTTCTCAAGATTAAATCAGACAGCTAATAATGTAGTCCTTTGCAACCAGGCTAACTTGCAGATTCCTTCTTTCTGAAATTGCTCTGAATAAAGAGAAAAGCTAAAAGGCAATTCTGATTTGCTAACATTTTGCATGGCTCCAGTGAAATCATATCATCTGAATTTTTTTTGTTGTATGTAGTAGAGATTATGACGTGCAGATGTGTGAAATACTATGCATGTGAACTGTTCAGTTTCGTGGAATTTTTTAAATGTAGTTCAGCAGTTTTAGTGCTGTGGATACTCTGATGTTTTACAAGACATAGATTGAGGTGGAAAGGAGAGGATCATAATGGAGGATAACATTGTGGGTCAGTAAGAGTCCATAAAATTCATCTTGGGATTCTCCTGATCATTTTGCTTGGAGATACACTTTGTACTTGACTTGGTGCTGTGTTCTAAGGAATGTGAATCGAAGCTACAACTACAGATCATGGAACTGCTTGCAGAATGGCAGACTAGAACTGGTGTTAAAAACACCCTTTAACTTTTTTCTGTGTTTTCCTAGGTAGACCTGCCCACATTCCCAGGTAATTTGCTGAGTTGTAAGAAGAAAAGCAAAAATAGGTGCCTACACATAACTAGTCAACATTTTTCCTTAGAAAGGAATTTAAGTATGCCACTATAAGCTAAAGGAATTTGGTACTTCTTTTAGAAGAAACCCTAGACAATATGATAAAACTATCCTTTGCTACCTAATATGATGTCCAGTGCTTTAGTGCAGTAAAAAATATGTTGTTGAGAATTCTTCATTAAGGAAACCGACTGAGAAAACAGATTTTATCTGAAGACTAGAATGCACACATGTCCAATGTATATTATTCTGAATATGGGTGTCAATTTAAAGTAGGGTTGATTGAAGGGTCTCTTCCCATACTATATTCAGTCTCAAGCCTGCGCTTCAGTGACTGACTTCCAAAATGCTTGCTTATTGTCTTTTCTTTAAGATGTAGTTACAGGTGGCTGCCTTAGTGTGAAATTCATGTTGACTATTTCTTTGTCTGTGATATTTTCTCCTCATGGTAGCTACTGGAGTCTCCACAGCATGTCTCAGTGTCCTTTAATTCATTTGCAGAAAGGATGTAATGCTATCAGGGCAGCACCTTGATTGAAATTAGACTCTGTGACTAAATGATGTTTCTATTGAATTCATACTAACATTGTCTGCAAGATTTATTTTTCTGGCCTGCAGAAGAGTTGGCCTTTGTATGCCATCTGATTTTCCATTCAGACTGCAGTATAGTGCCAGAAGCTTTCCTATTTCTGTTAATATCAAATGTGCATAATACCCATTTTTGGTCTTCAACTCAGCTACTGCCTAGAGGTTGCAGCTGCTAAAATTGTGCAGAAGAGTTACTTTTGCGAAACTTCACAGAATATACATTAGGGCAATATTTTATTATTGTTATTACTATCATTTTTAACTTCTAGGTTAGAATTTTAAATAAATAAGAAGTTAGGTTTATTGGACAAGAGCAAAATGAAAGCCCAAGATCTACTAATGTTAATATTAGAGCTAAAGAATATTATGCCTCTAGTCAGGAATGTGCCCTAAAATTCAACAGAATTTGGTTGATTTACAAATGAAATAAAGCAAAAGAGTTCTTTTGTTTTTGCAGAAAAAGAAAAGCAATAAGTGCTGCTTTTTGAATCCTACATGATCTGTTGGGAAAATTCTCAACACATTTTTCTCCTGGACATAAATATCTGACTTGAAGTTTTGAAATAATGCTCCTTTTCATTACATGTAAAATTCAACATGTGTCAAATGCTGTTCTTCCCTACCAATTTTGCCAACAATGAGAATTCTTTTGTAGAACCTACCATCAGCAGAGATAATTTTGGCATTTCTTCTTTTCTTTATAGCAAAAACTGCATGTATTTCTTTCACTTGGGACCACCAATTGCTGATATGTTCAGTTTTGCTTATTATCTGTTTTGCAGTGTTCCTTTTCTTTTTCCATTAAGATACTATACAAATGCATATTATACTGTTAGAAGAGTTGAGTCAAGGTTCGTATGGAAAATAGTGTGATAAGGAATCGTGAATTCTTCATTTATACTGCACTGCAGTACTGTGTTGTAATGGATGGGTTCATACACCACCGGATACCTCCTGTAACTCCTTCCTCCATTTCTCCTAGTCTCCTAGCAACATTTAGACAAGAAAACACCTTTGTTGCAGCAAAGTCTATAGTTTTCAGGACAAGGCAACTATTTGACATATATCCAAAGCTGGTTGTGCTTGTCAGCAATTGTTTCTCTAGGTGGTGTGTGATGGCCATATAGGAGGAAGGAGGTGAGTGGGGTCTTCACAGGTGCAGCAGTGTTTCTTTTGCTTTTAAAGGAGAGTAGCACCAGGCTATGACTTCCTGCCCTCTCACAGACACAAAACATAAGTAGTTATATATTCCTCTTGTCCTCAAAACCCATATAGCTTTACATAGTTCCCCTCCTTTTCTGTAGTTTAACTGTATTTTTTGTCTCTTTCCTGAAAGAATATTAAAGACCATGGGGAGTCCGAGTCCCCTTTGCCTGATCCTCAGCACAGCAGTGCTGAGTACTCAGCAGGTTTTCTCCTATCAGCTGTAGAGGAAGAAATACCCGAGATTGCAAGAAGTCACATTTCCAGAAAGACAAAATAAATGAGAGATTGCAAATGTTAGAACTGACATTGACTAGATCCAAACTGTGTCAGTACTGGGAATAGGATGCAAAGTCTATTTTGGGAAGAAGGGAAGGCTTCCAAGGAAAGGGAAAGGTAATACATATAGAGGAAAAGGAATGCTTCTCTCTGAGATGAGGGGAGAAGGAAGTGAAGGTTAAGTTGCAGATGTTAACCCTTTCTTCTTTGCAGTGAAATAACGTTTCTTGTTTTAAACCATTGCCTTCAATGCTGTTGAATGCTAGTTCCTCTGCAGGCCTGGGAGACATTTACCCATGTCCTCTCCCATATCAGATAGCTGTTGGCAGTATCTCCATTTCCCAAGTTGTTTGATAATTCTATGGGCTTAAAGGAAAGTCAGTCACATGATGAAGAAGCAATATTATGACATAATTGATTGTTTGTGACTTGAGGTTTGTGAAATGAAAATCAAGATGAAATACAGGCATGATCTAAGCTGTGCAAAAGATGCTGAGGTATTGAGCTTGTCAGAGGGAGTGAGAAGTTAGCATTGTTCACAGAAAAGATAGAGAGTGCTAGTGTGCTGAGAGAACCAGAGGAATGGAAAAAAAAAAAAGATTAATATCATGTTGTAGAGGCAGATTGTGTTAAGAAAATACAACTGTATTTCCTTAATGCATACATGGAAAAGTTAATGGAAAAATGAGGAAGAGAAGTGGGTGGCTTGACTAGGATGCCACCAGATAATTTCAGAATCAAAACTTCTATTAAGTCAAGCTTAAGGAAATGTAGGTCTTATCTTAATCTGCAGATATTTGAGTTTAGGAAAGTTGCTCAAAATTACACCTGAAATGCAAGAGTTAAATCTAATGCTCGGAATGTCTGCTCTCATGAAAATTTGTCATCACTCAGAATAGCACTTGTTTGAGTAGCTGGCTGCTTTCTGTTGCTTTGTTTGGCTGCAAAGCAGGAGGATTGGAGTAGTGAAATAGATATTTTAACACACACGCAGGCAAAATTCCATTTGCTTTTTCATCCAAAATAAGTGGCTTTTTAGCTGTTGTGATAAGAAAAAACCTAGATATTTTCCTCAGTTTTAACAGGAACTAGAGGCAAAGATCTTCTAAGCCAAATATTCAAAATGGTCTTACGCTGTCTTAATTCTTGTGATTTAATGTGGCTATTTTGGTTATTTTGCTGTCCTCAAAATAACTAGTTATTTTTCTTTCTGGACAAGAGGCCAAATGAGTGATATTCTATGACTGAAAATTACCTAAGGAGGGGTGTCTAATGTAGAAATGGTAGGAAGTAGGTAAACACCTTGTATACAATGGAGCTGCTGCCAACATAGCCAGTGACCAGATTAAGGATCAGAATTTTGGAGGTAAGTATGAGGAAATATATGTCCCTAAAGAAGGATGATTTATTTTGGCTATTATGTTTTGTTTCTTTTCTAGGCCTATATAGAAAGCTTTTTTGTGGCTTTTCTGTATGGCATCACAGGAAAAGGTAAGGTAATTAAGGAGAAACTGAAAATGGAATTTGAAGTTCTGATCTTAAATTATATCATAATTTGGAGTTTAGTTTGCTCTTTATCAGTTATTTTTACTCTTTTTTTTAATTTAAGGTGACGGTAATTTTCATTAAAACTTGAACATGCCACTCAATCTTTCAAACTCAGTAACTTCTTACTTGACAAATTAGTTAGGTCTTTGAATAACAACAGTAAAAAATCTCTTTTCCTAAAATAATAATAAAAAAATCCCTATCCATTAATTCAATTATTTTTCTTTCCAAACTATAACTGAAACACTTCAGTTCTTGTCCTAACAATGCAGAAAAGATTTCCTTACCTCTTAAATTGTTTTATCTCTCTTTCAGTAACTTTTAAATCTGATCCCCTGGTTGGAAATGAGCCAGTTTGGGTACTTGCAGCTCAGAAAGCCAACTGTCTCCTGGGCTTCATCAGAAGTGTGACTATCAGGATAAGAAAGGTGATCCTGTCCCTCTGTTCCACTCCTGTGGGATCCCACCTTGAGCCCTGAGGCTCCTAACATAAGAGAACATGAACTTGTAGTGAGTCCAGAGGTGGGCTGCAAAAATAACCAGAGGGCTCCAGTGCCTCTCCTATGAAGACAATGGGGACTGTTCAGCCTGGGGAAGTCTCTGGGGAAACCTCATTGCAGCTTTTCAATACTATAAGAAAGATAAGAGTTGTTTTTACAAGGGTCTGTGATGATGTAATTGTTTTCCAACGCTTAAAAAAGAGAACAGATGGGAATTTTTTTTTCCTTTTGCTTCTGCCATTATAGCAAGTTGCTTTCAGCCTGAAAATACCAATGGAAAAATATATTGCTGAATAGTAAAACTCATCTACTAGACATAATTGACTGGGAAACATTGTACGTAAAATCTGGTTGTCAAGAATATGTATTCTATCTTTATGTAAAGGCTGAACAAGAACTTAACTGTGAAACGCTGCTGAGACATTCAACACAAATGAGCTTCTTCATTATTGTGTGATATGCCTCAGAAACTCTGCTGTCTACTCTTAGACATTATGTGAAGGATTAGTCAAGTCCTCAGCGTAATGCAAATGGACAAATTTAAAAACTACAACATGGTTTTATTTTAGTACCTTTCATTTCTCCATTGTATAAAAGTACTTTTGAAAGCAAGGAGCTGAGCTGTGATCATTGATTCACTATGCATCTTGAAAAAAAAACATCATTTTGCACTCAGCAGTAGAATGTGGGGAAACTTGAGTACGAGAATAGAATTAGGGGCAGTGAATCAGACTGGAATTTTGATAGTTCTCTGACATTATCCCTAGATGTTCTTGCAAAAAGACCCAGTTTCTAGATGAGATGCAGTTCTTATGGAGGTTCTGAAATGTTTCAATGTGTTTTCCCTTTCAGTGTATTTTCTCATTTTTACAGCCCTCTAATTTTTGGGAAGTGACCTGTAATGTAAGTGCCAAGATACCTTGAGAGATGCTGCTGTTGAGAAGTTTCCAGCTGAAATTAGAAGTGTTGGGAATCTTGAACGACTGACAGTTGCTGTATTGAATCTACTCTGATTTGCACATTTGAAAGGTTTGAATTTCTTTTATTGTGACCTAACTCAGAAGTAGAGCTACCAAATTCAGTAGGTGTGACACAAGGTCAAATCAGTGTAATTGAAACCTAAGTCCAACTTCAAGGGATTTGATAATATTTAAAATTCAGTATGCTTGTCTATATATATATATACATATATATGTGCAATTTTTATAAAGTTTTCCTGTTAGGTAGGGAACTCTTTTTCACTGGAAACAGGAATGCTGGCAGATACATAAACATTATTCAGAATAATTAGAATAATTCAAAGGAAAAAAAAAAAACACAACAGCTAATAACTTGAAGAAATTATATTCTTCCTTTATATATATATATATATATATATATATATATATATATAATTTTTTTTTTACATAATCACTTCCACCTGGAGAACTAAAAAGTTGCTGGGTCAAATTATACTAATGTGTTCTTCATTATGTGAATTTTTGTGTAAATTTTAAAGTAGTTTTCCAGAGGTGTATGCAGACTCTGAGCACTGTTTAGAAATACTATGTGTTTTTTCTCATTAGTTAATGTTCAGATGGAGCAAATCAGCTTTTGATGCATTTGTCTCTCTTTGAG